GGGAAAACGAGTCCCACGGTCACTACGGAGCAACCGCGTCCTAGGCCAACCACAGGGGACACATACCCCAAAGAAACTACGAGAATCTCACCCACGAGACAAGCACTAACGCACTGGAACCCGGCGCTCGACACAGGAAGCCCAGGTCCAAGTCCAGCAACAGAGCATGTAAGTACCCTCTCCTCCCAGGAGAAAGTGAACATAGAAACACCCTCAGAGACGACAATCAGCCCTGAACCAAGACAACAACATCGACACCGACAACGGCAGCAACAGATCAACAGCCCAGCAACAAGGGAAACAGCCACGCTGACCCCACCCTGGTCGGGGCCCATAATTGAACTGATATCCACAGAGCCCCTCAACGCGGGCCCGGAAACCAGTACGATGGCCCCACGATACACCGACCGCAGCCCTGTCGTACCCACGGCCGACGCCACACCGATCCTCGCCCACACAATGGAGTACCTTCCGCGTACTGACATGATTTTTAGCGTCATGCACCGAGCCATGCCTAGAGCCATGTCCGAGATCTTCGTCGCCCATACAAGTCGTTGTTGCGATACCAGAGGCGTCATCGCGACTCACCTGTTCACGTACCAGTCTGGCTGTAGTATAACACGAGTACTACACCCGGCGTACCAAAACATCATACCCATGGTCGACACCACACCCATCGTCGCCCACATAAGCGACTACCAACGGAGGATCGAACCGCCCAGCGCCTTCGATACAACCCTCTTACCCGAAGACCCACGCCAACCACTTGACTCCGAAGCCGCCGATCGAACCGAACATGAGCCCGAACCAGTCCCGGAGCCGTGGCCGCCGGACTTGGCCCACAGACCCAAGCATCCGTCGCCCAAACAAGCCATTGGTCCAACAAAAGAGACATCGTCGAGACCAGCCAGTTCATGCACCAGTCTGGAGACAATACTACCCAATTGTTCCGCCAGAGCTACAAAACTACTCTACCCACGTCCAACGCCTCCCCGATCATCGCCCACATAAGCGATTACCACCGGAGCATCGATCTGTCAAGCACATTTGACAAACCCATCCTTCCGAAAAACCCGAATCAAACCTTTCACCCCGGAGCCACCGAACCCACCGAAGACGACCCAGAACTACCGACGGATCCTTGGCCACCCGACATAGCCCCGCAGATTCGAGAATGCCTGGACAAATAACGACCAAAGAAAACCGCCGAGAAAACCATCGTCATATGGGATAATCGACCCACCAAGCACCAACTACACCAACCACAAAGCACCCAGAACAGCAGAAAGGCCACGATCACAACAGCAGTAGAAAATATAACGTTACCGACGCCACGCTAAAGTGACGAGACTAACAGCGACGAATCCGGAGACTCGGCACAAGCCAAAGGACAGGATAACCCGGAAAAAGGCGAACCTCAGCACCCGCCAAGCGACGCCACAAATCTCTCCATCACCCACCCGGAAGAAAGGGGGGGTGTAACGAACCATGGATCCCATGGTTCGTCACAAGCAGATGACGCAGCCAACGCTACTCCCAGGTGAAGCGATCAACACCCAGCAAAAATGCAAACTCAGCACACGCCAAAAGACAGGAGACCAGCAGAAGGGGCTTACGCAATAAGTACCTAAAATAATATTAAATAAATAAATATTCCTAACAATATATATTCCCGAAGTGCCAACGAAATTCCTTTCCCACGGTACCGGTGCACACCGATCACCTTACCTGGGACATTGGACACTTGTTGGGAGGCGATTGCTTAGGTAACCCTCGATTACCGGGCAAAACCGCCACATGCGCAAGCCAGTCAGCAGTCTCCGACTCTCCTTACCGGGGATATTGGACACTGACTGCAGGGCTAATGATTAGGTAACCTTCTGTTACCGATCAGCCCGTCTGCACGCGCAGACTATAATTCGGCAATATATATTTATGTAAGAACCCTTCCCACATTCTGGAGTAGAAATAAGATATCTGTAAGACATTCATGGGAAAATCGAAGGCCGGCCGATCTATAAAAGGCACTGCCTTGCATGAAGAAAAGGGCAGTCCACCAGCCATCGTCGGAGGCAGTCCACCAGCCATCGTCGGAGGCAATCAATCAGCCATCGCGAGAGTCAGTCAAATCACCATCCGCGTCGTAGTACAAGTAAACATAATATAACCGGGTAGAATAATCATACGGAAGAATACGGAAGAATAAAGAAAACCATTAAAATTAAAAGAACCAAAAAGTGTTGTGATTTCTATTTCAGTTTTCTGGCAAAGTTCCTGGTTTCCCGATAAAGTCCTCGTGAATTATAAATATCTTGTAATTCAGGACCCTGGACAGACTGATGCATACCTCAGCCTGAAATAGGACATTACATAGTGATAAAGTTCACTTGAGAACCAGAGTCCAACAATACTCTGGCTGGCTGATGTTGGCTTGAGCTGCCTTTAATGTCAACAAGTGCTGTGGCTTAAATTACACATATACATACATACATACTCAAAGTTAGACGGCCGTGTGGGTGGTGGCGTCTACTGTAACGAGCTCAACATTAGTCATTGTTTCAGACTCCCGGACCACTGCAGTGTGTTCCAAGCGGAGGTTGAAGAAATAAACGAGGCTATTTCTATCGTCTCCGAACTTTCTTTAGACAGACACTCAGTGTGCGTCTTCTCAGACAGCCAAGCAGCTCTTAGAGCACTCGGCTCAATATCGACGAACTCAACGACTGTTAAAATATGCCGCAGGTCTCTTAATGAGACCGCAGAGCATTTAAATCTCTCCCTAATATGGGTCCCCGGACACAGGAATATCCACGGGAATGATGCTGCTGACGAACTAGCCAGGCAAGGTACTTCCACACCTCTCCTACCGGAGAAGAAGCAGAAGCGATGCCTTTACCTACGTGTAGGCTAGCTTACACGAAGCTTTCGAGCTAATGCCGACAGACGATGGCGGCAAACCATCATCTGTAAAACTTCCAGGTCGCTCTGGCCAAGTCGATCGAAGAAACGCTCGGAAGAGCTCTACAGACTCAGACTCGGCCATCACGGGACACTGGCAGATCGGCAAACACGCTGCCAGACTGTCAATCCCTCATAACGACTTCTATAGAAGATGTAGGGACGATTACAATATCCGTAACTTTTCCTTAAAACGCCTTTAAAAAATTACTGACTTGGGAATTATCTTTGTAACTAATCTGTGTTATAACTCACACATATCCTCTATTTCGAATAAAGCCAGAGGAGTCCTGGGCTTTATCAAAAGATGGTCTAAGGAGTTCATCGACCCTTATACCACTAAACTTTTATATGTATCCCTTTTCCGGCCTATACTTGAATACGGTTCCTGCGTTTGGTCTCCGCATTATCAAAAATATCAGGATATGATTGGGTCCATTCAAAAACAGTTTATCCTTTTTGCACTTCGTGGCCTTAATTGGACCCCTCTAGACATCTTACTTCTTATGAGAGTAGGCTACGGCTCCTTGATATCCGCTCTCTCGAAAGCCATGGAGTTATTTTTCTTCACAAACTTCTCGCTGGTGAGGTTGATTCCACTGCCCTCAGTAGTTTTATTAGCATTTCTGTCTCTTCCCGCCCGACTAGGCATTACTTTCCGATACATCTTCAACTCCAATTACTCTGACCATGAATCTTTCCGTAGCCTTTGCCGTAACTACAATACCTTCTTCCATCTGTTTTCCTTCGACACTAGTTCTATCAAGGTAAAATCTATGTTAACAAATAACTTAGATTAATTGAATCTTAACTTAATAGTCTATAGGCTATTTCCTGACTACAACTTGCTGTGAGCTGGACCATAGCGGCTACTTAAGCCAATAAAATAGTCGTATTGGGTCAGGACTATATCCATCGTCTGGCGACTCTTGTTTTTGTCAAATTCATATCTATACTATAAATTTGTAGAAAACGAGAAACAAATTTTACATTTTATATTTTTTTGCTACATCTGTTATCTACATCTACAATGTATACTTTCATCTAACATGTAGTTTATACATGTACCATTTAGATTCTACATCATCTCCGCTAGGGGTTGCTCGCGCACTGAAAGTGGCAGAGTGTGCGAGCGAGAAAGAGAATCAGTAGCGTCAGCAGCGCTGGAGAAGGAGAGGGAACCAACCGAAAATTAATTTCTTCATTCTGGCTATAATTATGATCCGATCTGATTCAGATTCGGCAGTCTGGTAGATATGGTAATTTTCTACGATACTGCGTAGTTTTATCGTATCTTCAAAATTGTGGCTGCCACAGATTTTCGTCCTTTGAGGGGGCGGAAGGAGGTGGGGCGAAATTTTGAAATACACTTGTAGCAATGTGATATCACATGGGTCTGGAAACAAAATTTGGTTTCTCTGGCTCTTATAGTCTCTGAGATCCAGGCGCTCATCGAGACGGACAGACGGACGCACGGACAGACGGACACGGCTATATATATACTTTATGGGGTCGGAAACGTTTCCTTCTCTGCGTTGCACACATCCACTTTTACCACAAATCTAATATACCCCTTAACTCTTTTTTGAGTACGGGTATAAAAATCTGTGTGTAAGCGGCTATCTCCGCAACGCGTGCACCAAATTGCTGCTGCTTTTTTTAAATGATAGCCAGAGAATGTGACCTGGTTTTTACAAACAAATTTGTACTTTTCTATAAATAGGTTCCTCAAGAATTAAAAATGAATCAAAAAAATCTTAAATTTGGTCCAAAAGTGTGTGTTTGAACGCCTATTTCATTCCATTTCTCCGCAACGCGTATTTTTTTTAAATAATAGCCAGAGTATGCGGCATTCTTTCTTTACAATTTTCACATTCTTTTTACTTTTCTATATATAGGTTCCACAAAAATTAAAAATTAATAAAAAAAAAATCTCAAATTTGGTCTAAAAATGTGTGTTTGAACGCCTAATTCATTTCATTTTGTGTCATTCTGTAGAACAAAACATTTGATGATAGATTTTGTTTTTTATAACTTTTTGTGTGAAAATTTGTTTTGTGAAAAAATTGCAATTTGTGTAAGTATATTTGTTGCTTTTAAAAATGTGTGCGTTTTAAACCAACCTGTGTGGTTTTTAAAGTTAAATGTCGAGACGATTAAATTTGGACCGGCGAACGCGAAATTCGTTTCAAGTTGTGGCTTCAAGGAGCCGTGAAAGTAGCCAAGACATTACACATCGCAATGAAAATAATCGTCTACGCACAGCAAGGTCCCGTTCAAATCAACGGAACAATGGTGCAACAACAACTGCAAATGAACGTCGTGATATTCAAAATCTACAAGGTGTTGCGTTCGCTTACAGTAATATCACCAATCACGCTTCTCATAGGCAAATTAAAATTGGTCCAATGAACGACCGTTGTCGCCATTGTCAGGCATTAAAATTTAAAGGTGAAGCAGATGGGATGTGCTGTGCGAGTGGTAAAGTGAAATTGCCTGAATTAGGCAGCCCAACACAACCATTGAGCACATTACTTAATGGATTGACACCTGAGTCTAATCATTTTTTGAACAATATACGAAAGTATAATTCGAGTTTTTTTTTTTTTTTTTCATTTTTTAATCATTTTTTGAACAATATACGAAAGTATAATTCGAGTTTTCAAATGACATCTTTTGGCGCCACAAATATTATAAGAGACAACTTCATGCAAACATTCAAGGTAATTAAATAGTTTTGTTTATGCAAATTGTACGTTTGTTCTCATTCAATCATATATTTTATTCAGATTCAAGGTCAAATATACCATCGAGCTGGCTCTTTGTTACCTTTCGACAACGCAGACCACCAATTTTTGCAATTATATTTTATCGGGAACGCGGAAGACGAAGCTGATCGTCGGTGTGCCATAATTACCAACACGCGAAGACAAATTATTTTCGATTTGCAAAATATGTTCCATGAGCACAACGAATTGGTTCAGGTTTTCAAAACATCGCTTGATCGAATGCCATCTGACGATCATAAAATTTTTATTCGATCTGATAAAACACCGGTTGGCGAACATGCAAGGCGTTTCAATGCACAAATAGTTGACGAAGTGGCAATAGTCATAGTTGGTGAGCAATTTAATAATCGTGATATTGTGCTTCATCGTAGAAATGAACAACTTGAACGTGTATCCGAGACTCATCGCAGTTATGATGCACTACAATATCCCATATTGTTTTGGAGCGGACAAGATGGCTATAATTTCAACATTAAAATGATAAATCCAGTAAACGGTCGAGAAGGAACAAAGAAAGTTAGTGCTATGAATTACTACGCATACAGCCTGCAGATACGGCAAAATCAAGACAACCACATATTGAGGTGTAGAGCACTTTTCCACCAGTATATTGTTGACATGTATGCAAAAATTGAATCGGAACGGTTAAATTTTCTTCGATTCAACCAAGCCAAATTACGTTCCGAAGAGTATGTTCATTTGCCATTACCATTAACATAACCCATTAACAACGATGGTAACGCACAAAACGTTGGAACTATGATAATATTACCGTCATCGTATGTTGGAAGTCCACGTCATATGTTTGAGTACGCGCAAGATGTGATATCATGCGTTCGCCGTTACGGTCGACCAGACCTCTTCATCACCTTCACGTGTAATCCGAAATGGGAAGAAATCTAGGAATTATTGGTTGTTGGCCAAACATCGAAAGATCGCCATGATATTTTGGCACGTGTTTTTAGACAAAAATTGAAATTACACATGGATTTAATTGTCAAACACGGTGCATTTGGGTCTGTTCAATGTTGGATGTATTCAATTGAATACACTGGAAGCACTTAATCGTACGTTGAAAGATATTCGTGGAGATAATCGATTGTTTGGTGGTGCATTGATATTGTTAGCAGGTGATTTCAGACAAACATTGCCTGTAGTCAAACTAGGAACTTCTGCTGATGAAATTAATGCGTGTTTGAAAACATCTAATTTGTGGCGCTCTGTGAAAACACTAGTTGACCAATGTACGTGTTCAATTGCAAAACGATGCTTCAGCAGATTTGTTTTCCAGACAACTGTTAGACATTGGTAATGGCATACTTCCCGTTGACAATTCTGGCTTTATAACGCTTCCAAATAATTTTTGCACTTTTGTGTCATCGAAGGAATACTTGATTCAGAGCGTGTTTCCAAATATTGTACAAAATTATAGAAACCATGACTGGTTTAGGGAAAGATCAATTTTGGCCGGATCAAATAAAGTTGTCAATGAGATCAACGCATCTATTTTGAATTCCATCCCAGGAGAAATGGTTGCGTATAGGTCGGTTGATACAATTATCAATTAAGATGATGTAAATTATCCAGTCGAATTTCTAAATTCATTGGACTTACCTGGATTGCCGCCATACTATTTACAAGTAAAAGTTGGAGCCACCATAATTATGCTGCGGAATCTTAATCCACCACGACTTTGCAATGGTACAAGCCTTGCTGTGAAAAAAGTTATGACTAATTTACTTGAAGCAACTATTTTGACTGGGAAATTTTGTGGTGAACACGTTTTAATTCCAAGAATTCCGATGATTCCGACTGACATGCCATTTGATTTCAAACGACTACAATTTCCGATTCGTCTTGCTTTTGCTATGACTATTAATAAATCACAAGGACAGTCGTCGCAAATTTGTGGTTTAAATTTGGAGTATCCGGTATTTTCACATGGTCAACTGTATGTAGCGTGCTCACGAGTAGGCAAACCTTCGGCATTAATTATTCATTGTACCGACGGCAAAACAAGGAATATTGTTTATCACAAAGCATTGCAATAAATAAAATATGTCATTACATCAAAATTATCATTTTTTAATTTCGATGAATTCCTAAACATTAAATTCATTTAGTAAGCACGCGGGTCTTCTAGTTACTGTATAATTTGTTAGTTTAACTGCCTATAGTTGAACTTTATAAAATAAATACAAATACAAATGTGTGTACAATTTATTTGTTATAAGTAGGCGAAATATGGGGTGTATAGGCATACCGAAAGAGATAGCTAGATGTGCCGGTTGATCAAATCAGAGCAATGTCGATTGAAGACACAGGGTCTGTTCAATATGCGAGAGAAGTGAGTGATAGATCAAGACGGTAGAACGTGAGTGCGATAATGATGATCAAATTAAGACTAAAAGAGGGCAGGCGGACCGAATTGCCCGTGCCCCAATACAAGCGAGAGAGAGAACGAAAGAAGCGATAAAAGCTCGGGCTGCAGCTGAGCCGAGTCCGAGCGAAAGATAGAGGAGAGAGAGAAAGAGTGCAAGAGAACAGCAAAGGTACTGCAACTGCAGTATCAAAATGAAGCAGGAGATATAAAGAGGCGAAAGAACGGCCACGGCCGTGAGTAATTATAAGCTGTTACAATATTAATATGCAGTGAGCAATGCAAATAGCAAATAATAGTGTGGTTTCGTTATTTTGCGAAACATACTATTATTTGAGGAAATTATTGGCGAATTTCAAGCTAGGAAACCAGACACCATATCCGACCGAGAAATCATTTTTGACCTAAACTTATTATAGTTCGCGATCTATGGACTTTTTTAATTGTTTTTGAGCATCGGTTCGAATACATTATTTCGCTATATGCACTTTTCAACATTTCGTTTTTTTTTTAAAGGAGTACAGACTCCTGATTTACTCATACATATACTCAAATTTTGACTAACTAGGCCAAACTGGGACTAACTTGACATCGATGCGCAAGGATCAAACGCTAACCGATTCCAAACATTTTTGTTGCCCTTGCTTTAGAGCCCCTAACACAAAAACTACATGGCCGAACTAAGATTAAAAAATTTTGGGATTTTCAGCCCACACTCATCTACGCTCAACTGATTGCAGGAAAGACTGCAAAACGCCTAGTCGCAGCAGGTCACATGTCGCTGCAAGTATTCGAGCACAGTTCAATTGGCCGAACTTGCCTGGATGTCGAAACAACCTCATTAATGGGACCCGACGACTGGAAAGAGGGTCGGGACCAGACTCATCACCTTAACATTTACACAGACGACTCCAAGATAGAAGGAGGAGTAGGTGCGGGCATATACTGTACAGACCCTGAAATAAGGCTGTGCTATAAGCTACTGGACCAATGCAGCATATTCCAGGCGGAAGTCTTCGCCAGAAGGAAAACGGTGGAGGCTGCTCCATGCAGTCGTCAGCGAGCAGGGAGGCACTAGATTTCCTAAGCACGACAAAGTCAGTGCAGATCTATTGGATTCCTAACCACTGAGGCATCGAAAACCAATATAATTCCAACATGTTTTTAAGGTAAGCTATCAATTTATCTGTATACTATGTAGATAAAAAACGAGAAGGAGCCCGTACTCAGTCAGTATATACATTTTTGAGCTTATGATTTTTATACCCGTACTCAAAAAAGAGTATATCTATAGATCTCAGAGACTATAAGAGCTAGAGATCTTGATCAGCATCAATAGCCGAGTCGATATAGCCATGTCCGTCAGAAACTATAAGAGCTAAAGAAACCAAATTTGGTTTCCAGACTCATGTGATATCACACTGCTACAAGTGTATTTCAAAATTTCGCCCCGCCCCCTTCCGCCTACACAAAAGACGAAAATCTGTGGCAGGCACAGTTTTAAAGATACGATAAAACTAAAAACGCAGTATCGTAGAGAATGCCCATATCTACCAGATTGCCGAATCTGATCGGATCATAAACATAGCCAGAATGAAGAAATTAATTTTCAGTTGCTTCCCCTGCCCACTCCAGCCAACGACCAAGCAACTCATTTTCCTTCTCGCTCGCACACTCTGCCGCATTCAGTGCGCGAGCAACCCCTACCGGAGGAGATGTAGAATCTAAATGGTACATGTACAATATACATGTTAGATGTAGAATAGACATTGTAGATGAGATGTAGATAACAAATGTAACAAAAAAATGTAAAAATGTAAAATTTTTTTTTTATTCTAATATTCTGACTGAGTACGGGTATAAGTAGAGTCGCGTCCCCAGAAGCGACTCACACGTTCCTTCTCGTTTAGAATTAAAATTTTTACATTTTTTTCCTACATCTGGTATCTACATTTACAATGTATATTACACATCTAACATGTAGATTCTACATGTACCATTTAGATTCTACATCTCCTCAGCTAGAGGGCGCTCGCGTACATAACGAGGCAGAATGTGTGAGCGAGAAAGATAATGAGTAGCGGGTCCTTGCAGGAGAAGGCAAGGGAAGCAATGATAATTAATTTCTCCATTCTGGCTATAATTATGATCCGATCTGATTCAGATTCCGCAATCTGGTGGATCAGCGTTTTTAGTTTTATCGTTTCTTTAAAATTGTGCCTGCCACAGATTTTAGTCCTTTGTGGGGGCGGGGCAAAATACACTTGTAGCAGTGTGATATCACATGAGTCTGGAAACCAAATTTGGTTTCTTTAGCTCTTATAGTTTCTGACGGACATGGCTATATCGACTCGGCTATTGATGCTGATCAAGAATATATATACATTATGAGGTCGGAGGGAGAAAGGGGAAAAAGTTGTCCGGGAAGCAGAGGGGGAAGACCACACCTCTGACGCAGAACACGGCGAGTGCCAAGGCACCACCAACGCCCTCTGTACAGAAGGCACCGGTGGAACCGACTGGTCGAGAGACAAGGTTCAAGCGACAGAGAACGGACGACTCCACAAAAGCTTCCGAGTCGAAGAAGGCGAAACCAGAGGACTTCTGGCCGCCGGCCCGCTGGTGCCTCCCCAAAGTCCCGGGAGTATCGGCTCTTGGCTGGGGGTCCTCCCCTGGGTCCTCTAACCCTTTGTCCGGTTCGTTCAGTGGTATGGGCCACGTGGCCTGTGGCATCAAACCTTTCTCAAACCACGGTTTGGTGAACTTTGGCCAGGAGCGGCACTCCGCGTGGTCCCGACGGATCAGATTCCCAGGAGAACGATCATGAAGGTATGGATTCCTCCCCCGATTAAGGCGGATGAGGACACACTCGTTCTGATCAAGGCACAGAACCGGATCCTGGAGACATCTGACTGGACCATCACAAGAGCGATAGCGCGAGACAAGGGGAACGGCAAGGAACTCTGGATCAGCATTGTTCAAGAAAGCCTGGCCAAACTCCTTGCAACGGACTGCCGCATATCCTTTGGTATAGGCACCCTGGCGGTAGCAGTACCGCGACACCCCAGGTCCGCTCAATAGCATGAAGGTGGTGCAGATTAATCTGCATCACTCAAGTGTACCATCGGCGGACCTGCTGCGGTTTATGGAGGAGAAGGCGGTGGACGTGGCCCTCATCCAAGAGCCCTGGATCGTAAGTGAAAGGGTTCGGGAACTGAACGGTTGCGGATACCGCCTTCTCACGCCACACCCCGCGGGTAAGCCAAGAACCTGTATCGTGGTAAGGAACGAGCTTAATGTTCTGTTTTCTTCCAGGTACAGCACTCCGGTCCTAACGGTGGCACTATGTGAGAGGGAGGACGGGAAAAACCTATACCTGGCCTCTGCATACCTGCCGTACGAAGAGGAAGACCCACCCTCGGAGGATGTCAGGGCCCTGATCCACCAAGCGCGGAGGGAGGGACTTGATATTGTCTTAGGCTGTAACGCGAATGCCCATCACTCCCTCTGGGGAAGTACGGGCACAAATTCTGTCCACAAATCTTGTTGTGTGCAACCGGGGAGACCACCCCACCTTCCGCAACAGGAACCGTGCAGAGGTTATAGATATAACACTGGCCTCGAATAGCGACTCCCTTACCATCGATGACTGGCACGTGTCCAGTGAGTGTTCCTTTTCGGACCACTACAGGATAGTGTACAGCATCAAATGGAACAAGGAGAGGCCCAAGGCCTACCGCAATCCCAAGCGGACAGACTGGAACCGCTTCTCCGCAACCGTACAGAAGGTGCTGCCTAACCCACCGGAAGGGGACATAATTCAAACGGAAGCACTAGAGAAAGCTACGCAGACCGTCACTAATGCTCTACAGATGGCGTTTCTCAAATCCTGCCCGATCAGCCGACCCCCAAAGTCCAATCACAACCCGTGGTGGACACGACAGTTGAGCGAAGTCAGAAAGGAATCGAGGAAGCTCTTCAATAAAGCAAAAGTGACAAACACACAGGAAAGTTGGGACGAGTATCGCCGCAGCTTCAATACCTACAAAAACACCTGTAAGAGGGCGAAAAGGGAATCATGGGCAGCCTTCTGCGATGCCATAGATGGTACCATTGAGGCCTCAAGGCTTCGACGTGTAATATCGAAGGCACCCACCACACCAGGCCTGCTCCGCAGCCAGGACGGTACCTTCGCAGAGAGCAGCCAAGGCTCCCTGGAGCTCCTCATGGGTACTGACTTCCCAGGTTGCTCAAATGTCACCGGTGACGAATCCAACGCCTCCAACGACACTGATGATCATCAAGGAGAGGAAATCAAGGAACTCATACGAGATATAATGGCACCAGACAAGATTATCTGGGCCATTAAATCATTCAGTCCCTACAAGTCTCCGGGACCGGATGACATCCGACCAGCCATGCTGCAAGGCATCAAAGGATGCCTCCTCACTGAGTACGTCCCCCGTGGGTGTAGAGAGGTGAGAGTGATCTTCATCCCCAAGGCAGGGAAGATAAACCACATCTCCCCAAAGGACTACAGACCCATCAGTCTGTCGTCATTTTTGCTTAAAACGATGGAGCGACTAATGGATCTATATATAAGAACCAAGCTAGACAAACAAGTGTTCAGTGGAGCTCAGCACGCCTACCTCAAAGGTAGATCAGTTGAGACCGCACTACACGAAGTTGTTGGGCATATCGAAAAGAATCTAAGCTAAAAGGAATATGCCTTGGCGGCCTTTCTAGATATAGAAGGGGCCTTCAACAACGTCAGGATCGAGTCAATAACGGCCGCATTGGACAAGATTGGCACACACCCGACGAGCAGAACGATAAGCGCCAATCTAGGCTCCTCCTCGTCAAGAAAGACGGTCACACGAGGTACTCCGCAAGGGGGAGTTATATCCCCTCTACTGTGGAACCTGGTCCTCAACGACCTCCTTCTTCAGCTGGGGAGGAGCGGATATAAGGTTACGGCCTATGCAGACGATCTAGTAATACTGGTAACGGGTAAATTTCTGCCCACAGTCAGTGACCTTCTAGAATCTGCACTGGGCACTACCGCCAGCTGGGCACGCCAGAACGGTTTGGGGGTCAATCCTCAAAAACAGAACTGGTGCTGTTCTCACGAAGATATAAAATACCGAGTTTCAAACTACCAGCAATCGGTGGAACGACACTCGAGCTATCGAGCGAAGCCAAGTATCTTGGTGTCATCCTTGACTCCAAACTCTCCTGGAAGAGAAACACGTAGGAAAGGAAGAAAAAGGCAATGGCAGCTTTCTACACCTGTAGGAAGACTTTTGGACGAACATGGGGCTTACAGCCGCACATCATCCATTGGATGTATACAGCGGTAATAAGACCCATCCTGACATACGGAGGCATGGTATGGTGGGAAGCGGTTAACACCAAATCCCACCTGGAGAACCTCCGTAAAGTCCAACGGACAGCATGCCTTGGGGTCACCGGATCTCTCAAATCCACCCCACAGGCAGCTCTGGACACCATGTTAGGCCTGGAACCGATAGACCTTCATCTTAAGTGCAAGGCTGAGACAAGTGCCGCTAGGCTATTAGCCGCGCAGTTCTTCAAGCCATCGCCTTATGGCCACGCCACTATACTCCGTATGGAAGATAGTGGAACGGCCAGGTGGAGTGACTACTGTGTCTCAGAGTTCTCATGGAAAAGAAACTTTAAAGGACACATACCGGATAGGGAGAAATGGAAGAGTAACACTGTCCTGGGGCAGAACGAGCTCTCCATTTTCACCGACGGGTCAAAGACGGCCGAAGGGACAGGAGCTGGAATCTTCTCCGAAGAACTAGCAACCAACATATCCCTAAGACTACCAGACTGGTGCAGTGTATTCCAGGCGGAGATATATGCAGTATGGCAAGCGGCAAAGTTGGTATACACCTTGGAGATACCTCCGAGGAACATAGCAATCTGCGTTGACAGTCAAGCTGCCATCAAAGCCCTGGTATCCTGCAAGACCACAAGCAGACTCGTACGTGATACGGTGGATGCACTAAACCAGATCAGCGCGCACTCAATCACACTCACGTGGGTTCCGGGTCACACCGACATGGCGGGCAACGAGAGTGCGGACGAGTGTGCCAGAACTGGATCGGCCAAGCCAATGGCGGACGCAGTCAGCGACATAAGGAGACCACTACGAGACATCATCTCGCAGATGATGGGCCGAGCCAGAACGAGATCGGACAGGAGGTGGAACACCACACCCAACTGTGAGATCTCTCGCTCGCTCTGGCCCCACTACGACCTTAAACGCACCAAGACTCTCCTAAGCTTCAGGAAGAGTCTGGTGCGAACACTGACGGGAGTTATAGCGGGGCACTGTGTCATCGGCCGCATGGCCACAAGGTACAGACTGCCCCACCATGACTTCTGCCGCAGCTGCAGGGACGAGGAGGAAATAGAGAGCATCCAGCACCTTCTCTGCAACTGTCCTGCACTCATGGGGAGGCGTCACCGAATACTCGGTGGCGCCTTCTACGAAGATCTGGACAGCCTGGCAAACATGCCTCTAGAGAAACTGGTGCTCTTAATAGAGGCCTCGGGATGGTTCGCGAAACCTCCCTAGGCACCGGACAATATCCCGTGACGAGTGTGGGCATCACAATGGGCAGACTTGCCTCCGAGTGACCTCGACTTCAGTCGAGCAGCCCTATAAACCTAACCTAACCATGAGGTCGGAAACGTTTCCTTCTCTGCGTTGCCCACATCCACTTTTACCACAAATACAATATACCCCTTAACTCTTTTTTGAGTACGGGTATAAAAACGAGCAAGATCGTTTGTACCGGTACTCTTATACCCGGTACTCAGTCAGTATATGTGAGAGCTTATTACGGGTATAAAATCGAGCGAGATCGTTTGTACCGGTACGCACCAAACCGACATATTCTGATAGATTTGGGCACTTAAATTTGTTTAATGAATAATGGTTTTATGTTTGGTATTTTTGGTAGGTATGTATTTATGCTTGTATTTTATTGAAATATGAATAGGAATAATCGACAAAAGTCCAATTTTTTGTCCACTTTTTCTGAGCTTTTATAGTAAAAAAAAAAAATAACATACCGCAAAAATAAGACCAATTTTGCAATACAATTGAAAGTTTACATCAGATAACACTACTCGACAAAATTGAACTTTTAATTTAGGCTGTGAACCAAAAATGGCCTTTTCTGATAGATTTCCGGATTACAAAATAATTTTAAAATCTGGTATTGTTTTCATGGTTTTTTTCAGAGGTTTGCTTCTATTTTTCACATAACTTAAGTATCTTATATCTGGTTGCATAGAACTTTGCAGTTCTAAAAAGCTGACAAACGCAGCTATAAATCCGACCTATACCCTTTGTATCTGCAGCTTAACGCCTGGAAGATATTAAGCTTTCAAATTCAAATTTCATCATTTTTTTGCGGTATTTTTTTTCGAAAATTTTACTTTAAAAAATCGGGAATAAAAGAAAAAAAAAGTTAAGTTATGTGAAAAATAGAAGCACTACCTCTGAAAAAAACGAGAAGGAACGTGCGAGTCGCTTCTGGGGACGCGACTCTACTTATACCCGTACTCTGTCAGCATATACATTTTTGAGCATATGATTTTTTAGAATTTTAGAATTAAAAAAAAATTTTACATTTTACATTTTTTTGCTACATCTGTTATCTTCATCTACATATATTATGTATATTCTACATCTAACATGTAGATTATACATGTACCATTTAGATTCTACATCTCCTCCGCTAGGGGTTGCTCGCGCACTGAACGCGGAAGAGTGTGCGAGCGAGAAGGAAAATGAGTTGCACGGTCGTTGGCAGGAGGGGGCAGGGGAAGCAACTGAAAATTAATTTCTTCATTCTGGCTATAATTATGATCCGATCTAATTCAGATTCGGCATCTGAATTCTGATCTGGTAGATATGGGAATTCTCTACGATACTGCGTTTTTAGTTTTAGCGTATCTTTAAAATTGTGGCTGCCACAGATTTTCGACCTTTTTGTGGGCGGAAGGGGGCGTGGCGAAATTTTGAAATACACTTGTAGCAGTGTGATATCACATGAGTCTGGAAACCAAATTTGGTTTCGCTAGCTCTTATAGTCTCTGAGATCCAGGCGCTCATCGAGACGGACAGACGGACAGACGGACGGACGGACGGACGGACGAACGGACAGACAGACATGGCTATATCGACTCGGCTATTGATGCTGATCAAGAATATAAATACTTTATGGGGTCGGAAAATTTTCCTTCTCTGCGTTACACACATCCACTTTTACCACAAATCTAATATACCCCTTAACTCTTTTTTGAGTACGGGTATAAAAAAAAAAAAAAAAACAGATATATCCCTGAAATTGTAGAGTACCGGGTTAATACACTTTATAGCTCTTAAAATTAACTTATTTGTATCTTCATAATAAAGCAAAAAAAATAGAGGAAAAAAAACCTTTAAATATGTTTAGTATTTACTTATGGCCATCAATTGCTCCTCCAATTCAGCGCAACGTTTCTGCTCTGTTAATAATTCTCGTTTCATAAGTTCCAAGTCACTAATTAGATTAACCAGTTCTTCGTTGTCTTCACCTTTTGCAACGAATTTGTCGCAAATTTTATTATCCACAACCAAAGGTAGACTGTCATTTGGAGGAGAAAGATCTTCAACGCCAGTTGAGTTTGCTATATTCCGATGCTCAAATAAACGGTGATCTGTTGCTTTACAATTAAAATCGAAAAACTACCAAAAAAATATTAATAGTTATTTATTATTTATATTAAATATAGCATTTATAGGAAAATAAACCATATTGTGCATTAAAGATCGCTTTGGCATGCCAAAGCGTAGATACCCTTGCAGTTCAAAGACAAGAAACCATTATAAGAGGTGGTTTGAAATTCAAACTTTGAATTAAAATATTAAAGAAAGCCAGAATTTTCGGGGTGTTTGAACTCGTATTTTAGAAGATTTTTCGGAACTCTACAATATCAAGAAGGCAGAACTAATGGTAAATGACATCCGTCTTTTTGTTCCTTGATGGGCATTTATTAAAAAAAACAGTAAACTATACAAAATTGGTAGTAGTTGTTCTTCGCCTATAAATCCATGTACATATATACATATGTAAAGTTACGAATTTTAATACTAGCACAGCAATAAAATCTCAGTTTACTGCTCTTTTCTTATGATATATTTTCCAGTAGGAAAATCACAATAAGATTACACTAGTCAACACGATTTTTCCTCAAGGAACAAAACGATATTTTTCTTAAAGATTTGGGGCTTAGAAATGGTTTTTTTTTCTATGGCAGAACTTTTTTTTTAAGAATTTTTGAAAACTGGTATTTTTTTTAACCTTTTTTCAGAGGTAGCGATTGTTTTTTTCACATAACTCTAGTATCTTACGTCTGGTTGTAAAAAACTTTGGTATTTTGAAAAGACAATTAAAACAGCTAGAAGTTAAGCCTAAACTTTTTTTGATTTCAGCTTACCGTCTGGGAAATATAAAGCATTGAAATGCAAAAATTATGATTTTTGTGCGGTATTTTTTACGAAATTTTGGCTTTAAAAACTCAGGAAAAGTCGAAAAAAAATTATATCCTGTGTCCTCTAATTTTTGTGTATAGGTGCATTAATTTGGCGTCGTTTAAGGTATCGCTCGTTAAAATCTATGGAGAGACTTTGGAGCTAAAATTCGTTAACCAAACCTAAAATATGGAAAAAATGAACAAAAAATACCTTTTGGAAGGTTATTATCATAATCATCAGACTTGCTGTTTCCAAGAAAGTTTGTTACTACCATTCGGAATGAGTTCCAAGCTGTATTTTCATTCTTAAATAACATATTTGGAAATCCATCATCTTTTAGTAGTTTTTTTATTTGAGGACCATCAAATACTCCTTTCACTTTTGCCAGCGATAGACGTGAAAAAACAGCTTTTAGGTAACGCATTGATTCGCCTTCCTTATCCAGTGCTTTAACAAAATTTTTCATTAGTCCCAGCTTAATGTGAGAATATAAAGGAAACATTTGACCTGAATAGGTATCCTACCTCAGATAACGAAAAAAGTAACTGTCAACAACATTTCATACCAAAGGAACGCGATCAGGTACCAAATGTACAACCCTTTTTCGTTTGCTTTGTTCCCAATTGGCAGTTTGGCCCGCAACCTTCCAAAAGGTATATTTTGTTAAATTATTTTATTTTTTAGGTTTGGTTAACGAATTTTAGCTCCAAAGTCTCTCCATAGATTTTAATGAGCGATACCTTAAACGACGCCAAATTAATGCACCTATATACAAAAATAGAGGACAGAGGATATAATTTTTTTTTCGACTTTTCCTGAGTTTTTAAGTCAAAATTTCGTAAAAAATACCGCACAAAAATCATCATTTTTTTATTTTAATGCTTTATATTTCCCAGACGGTAAGCTGAAATCACAAAGTGTTTGCGCTTAAATTCTAGCTGTTTTAATTGTCTTTTCAAAATACCAAATTTACAACCAGACGTAAGATACTAGAGTTATGTGAAAAAAACGAGCGCTACCTCTGAAAAAAAGCTTAAAAAGAAACCCCAGTTTTCAAAAATTATTTAAAAAAAAGTTCTGCCATAGAAAAAAAACCATAATTCTTTAAAAAATTTTAAAGCCCCATATCTATCAGAATAAATCGGTTTGGATCCTTGAGGAAAAAAAAAAGTTGGATTTTGTCTAGTTTTCCCTTTTCAAGGGGACACCCAGCAGTTCTGTTCTTTGTTATTCAATAAAATTATAGATTTTTTTTTGAAATTTTTAGTTTCATGTTTAGGGGTGGCTACCACGAAAAGAAAATACACTTTTTTAGTTAAATATACATTTAAAAAAAATTGAATTCGTCGGTTTTTTTAAATAATATTGAAACTTAGAAACTAGTTCATATTGATAAAAATGTATTTTGGTTTTTTTTTTAGTTACTGTTAAAAAATTAACGATTAGTGAAAATCAAGAAGTTTAGCTGAGGTTGATATATTCAGATAACTAGTTCGCAAAAACTTGTGCAGGTTTTTTACTGCCAATAACTGATTAATAAATGGTATTAATATATGTGCAATAGAATTCATCATTTAGCCAGCTCATTCAGCAAAATATTTTGTTTTAATTTTCTTTATTACAATTTTTTGTAAAATCCAGTAGCAACCTCTAAAAAATAAAAAAAATAAATAAAAACATGTAAATTACTATTAAATCCGAGGTAACAAAACTAGGGGGTGTAACGTTTGAATTTCGAAAAAAAAATGTTTGGCCCAGACTAATGTTACCTGCAAGGGTATGTAAATGTTCGGTTCGGATTTTAATCACGTTCTGGCGTACCTTTATATTATAGTCTGCATGCGAATTTATTCCCTGGTCACTGCGATCGCCAATTTGTTTATCAGCAAGGGGCACGCTACTATTAAGTTCTTGTTGCAACCGATCGCTTCTCCGTCGTTCAATACTAAGGGTCTGTTTTGATTCGTTTAGCAGTTGGCTGAGCTCTTCGCAGCGAGATTCCAATATTTCAGTATTGGAAGATATTCTATATAACAAAAATACTAAATATGTAGAAAAAAAAGTTTTAAAAGAGTATCTTACGTTTTAATTAGCTTTTTATCGGAATTTTTTTCAATGTTGAGGCGTTGGTTTGTGCGTTCTAGGTCTTGAATACCTACTTCCAGCTGTTCGTAAACTTTAAGACGAGAATCGTTTACTTCAGTCATGGCATTAATATGCTTACGAAGATGCTGAGAAGAAAAAAAAAATACATGACACCGTTCGGAGCAGAACGGTATATGATTTCTTATATTAAACTTAAAGTGAATGCCATTCTCTATATAAGCTCTTTCGCGCCAAAGCTTGCACTCAGTTTTTTCTTTCATCACTCTTGCGTTTTATCTGGGATTTTGGCTGCTGCTGCAGCTCGCGAGCGCTGATGGAATTAGTGCAGAAGCGACCACAAACATACAGTAAAAATATAGTAACCTATTTGAGTCTTATTATTTTAAATCAATTCGATACCCTTTAACGAACACAAAAAAAGAAGGTGTAATAAAACAGAAAGGAGAGGCTTAGAGCTGGGCCGACCACTCATACACTATCGATAAATCGCATTTGCCGCGTCACGACTTTAAATTTTATATTTTTTTTTTAATTTGTAAGTCTAGTGTAAGATAGTTTAGGGCGAAGCGGGGGCGCAAGAAAGCTTCGCTCTTGGCGAATTCGCCCCGCTTCGCCGCCCTAGAAGTCGGAAAATAACATTGAATTCGAGCGCACGTCCCTTTTTAGTCTCCCTTCTTTTTCGTCTAAATATATAAAATTTGCAGCCACCAAACGGTTTTGTTGAATTTAATTTAGTAAAATTATTCTAAAATTTAATGGCGCCCCAGGGTGAACTAGCAAATTAAATAAAGTTTAAATGCAGAAATTTTGAAGTCTAGTGACACGACTGGTGAAATATATAAAACACATATATTTAATAGTTTAAGTGTATATTATAAACACCTGCCGCGTCGCGTGTGTGTGCAGCAGCAACCCCCAAATATCAAACCTAAAACTACCGCGCCGGTCGGCTAATAAACATACAACAAAAAAAAAACCTAGCGATCTCAACCGCCGAGGGATATCCATTCCGAATGAAGTTTGCCACCTGCCAAGGAAAGTGGAATTTACCAGAATCCCATCTTATATACATAGAGGTATTTGTGAAAAAAATTTAAAGCTAAAATAAGTGCACCTCGCTTTAAATTCTTGGCACATATGTACGTATGACATAATAGAGCTAGATTTGCATGTATTTAGTAGAGTTTGTACATATATTACATATGTATATCACATTCACATACATCAAACCATCTTGGACGCAGAACATATATACATATAATTTATAACTGCAATCACTGTCACCCCTTCCCCCTTTATCGTTTTCGCTGCGCATATATATAGTTGGGTCATTGGCCAAGCGCACACATACCAACATAGCAGCTGCAGCGGTGAATTTTCGTTCTCGCTTTTGCTCGCTGACCTTCGTTGTTGTTGGTGTGTTCTTTTCGTTTGGCGCGTTTGAGTCAAACCGTTCGCCAAGCGACGCGCTACCCTGTAATCGTCGGGTATATAGTTTTGGTGCCAAGGATCCAACTGTCAATATTTCAAAGCGTGCCTCGCAATTCAAATTGGGTGTCTATCGGTCGGGCAGCCAGGCCCATCATACACAAACGCCAACACAGCTTAGACACACACACATGTGCATACGTTCATAACTGCAGCGGTGAATTTTCGTTTTCGCTTTCGCTTGTTACCGTTGCTGTTTGTTTTTGTTCTTGTGTGTTTTGAGTTGGCACGCCTGCGCCAACAGATCGCCAAGTTTCTCGATACCGTTTAATCGTCTGGTATATCGGTTTTTTTGCAGCATTTGGCATCGACACCCTAGGTCCGTATTAAATAGATCGCCAAGTGACTCGATACCCTTTAATCGTCGGGTATATCGATTTTTCGCCTCATTTGGCTTCAACACCCTAGGTATTAAACCGATCGCCGTGTTCTTTGGGTACACCTTCCTGTTGCGACAATTTGCGCCGCAGCAAATAATATTATCGTGAGAAAAGTCCTGATTAGTGATTCACTTAAGCATCGAGAGTCAAGATGAATCCAAAATCAGATCATAAGCGTATTCTTGAAGAGCTGAAAAAGAAGCTCAGCTCCCGTGGCAAAGGCATTCGCCGACTAGCGGACCGGCTGGAAGCTGGGGAGATTCCGCCGCAGTTGACAGAGCTCGAGTGCAGACTCGACGTACTGAAAGCAACTATAACCAAGGCAGCCCAGTTCAAGAATCAATCAAAGAAATAGATAGTGACGATGAGTTTGGAGCCGAGTTGGAAGAACTAACCAAGGCAAAGATAATGTCGCTTATCGACGCCTTGAAGACAGCCATCGATACAATGCCTTCAGTATCAGCTTCTGTTGCCCCAACTCGTTCTCGACTTCCGAAGTTAGCTCTGCCAAAGTTCAGTGGAAAATATTCGGAATTCAAAAGCTTCATTAGTTTATTTGAGACTCTTGTTCACAATGACGAAATCATTGGGAACGGTAAGGGCGTTCCAAGTAACCGAGAGTAATTATGAGAAAGCCATGGCCAGCTGAAAACGGGTCTATGATAACGAATGTCTGATCTTTATGAACCATATTGCTGCCCTATTTAGTCTTCCCAAAATGACCCAGCAATCTGCATCGTCCTTAAGGAACCTAATCGATACCACTTCATCGATATATGGTTCCTTGTTGTCGATAGGCGATGACCAAAAGATCCTGTGACCAAACAAAAATGGGAAGAACAGCTCCATTATGAGAAGCTGCCGCTTTGGGCTGACTGCGAAAAAATGCTTAATCGCAGATATCAGCATCTTTCGGCCGAAGAATTGCCAAAACCAAAGCAGGAGCAGAAAGCTGTGCCAAGCAAGCCTCACAATCGAAGCTCATTCGCGTGTTCTACTGCGAATGCTAAAAACCAACAATGTAGTTACTGCAATGCAAAAGACCATTTTTCGACTACTTGCAGTTCATTTTCGCGGCTTGCAGTGATGCAAAGATTCGAATTTGTCAAATCGGCATCGCTCTGCATCAACTGTCTGCAACAAGGACACACTGTGGTACGATGCAAAGCTAGCAAGTGTCGAGTGTCGACCGCTCACATCATGCCTTATTGCATAGGCACACAGTTGTGGATAAAAGTTTAGCGTTACCATCACCCCCAGAGAATTCTTCTCCCCCTCCTAGTTAGAGTAACCCTTCCACTTCGCATGCACTCCATGCGACAGCTTTGGATAGAGTAATTCTGGCAACGTCGATCGTAAGCGTCCGAACCAAAAATGGAGAGTACGTTTTGGCTCGAGCACGGCTTGACTCTGGGTCACAAACAAACTTTATAACTGAGGACCTAGCACAGCGCTTACAGATCCGTAAGGAGGAGTCGTGTATCAACCTGCTTGGATTTGGCGAATCCAATTCACAAGTCAAGAAAAAGATACACACGGTGGTGAAGTCGCGAATCAATGGTAGTGAGTTCTCGGTCGATTTCTGGATTCTGAAGTCAATCCCGGGATATCACCCCGAATACGCACTTAATGTGAGTGATTGGGAAATCCCGAAGAACCGTGCAGACCCATATTTCTACAAACCACAAAGAATAGATATGTTGATAGGTGCAGAGTCTTTTTTCGAACTCTTATCTGTTTGTCAAATTAGACATGGTCCTGACCATCCAACTCTGCAGAAAACGCTTCTCGGTTTGATTGTGTCTGGAAGATACAGTCCAAAGGTGACTGTCACCCAGGATGCGAGGAACTGTCTGAGCTATCGAGAAGAGTCAGTTGTGTCTATTGACAACACACTAAAAAAGTTTTGGTCACTAGAAAAATTGCCATCTTCTATAAAGTCTATCTCTTGAACACAAGTTATGTGAGGAGCATTATAGAAAGACTACTCAAGTCTTGCCTTCAGGTCGGTTTGAAGTAAGGCTGCCGTTTAAATCAGATCCAAACTGTTTGGGCAATTCCTTTTAGATTGCTAAACGGCGGTTTTTTTCGCTCGAAAGAAGATTGTCCCGTGACCCCGAGTTGAAGAAAATGTACTTGGAATTCATGGAAGAGTTTTAGTATGCTCACATAGTTGGTACCCACTGTACCTTAAAGAATATACACTGTAAAACTTTGTTGCAGTTACGTAAACAAGTCCCAGACATAGCTCGGGTGAAACATAATACGATCACCCAAGTTGTGCCTCGAGCGACATAAATGTATCGTCAGCATATTCTCATAGCTTGACGATGCATAAAGTACACGCGCATCCGATTCCCCTCGCGCCCCCCGCTATCAGCAGCGCTGGGCATATATATAACGAATATATAAATGCGGCCGCTCGGCTGCCGTCGTTCCTGGCAGCGCAGCTGCGCGGCCTTAGCTTAAGCTACCATAAGATCTATATCGATATAACATTCAATAAACGAATAGCTAAAGAGACGGATGTCTCTGCGGATACATTCATTAAAACATAAAAGAACATAATAGCTACATGGCGACCGTGACTCGGTCTGAGTCCTGCATCGATGGAATCTGCTGATCAACAACAATACAACAAATAGAAGAATCAACTGCGGATCCATCGACCAACAAAAGAAAACACGGAACGAACATTAAACGCAGTGAGTAGAGGGGTATGTGTGGAAAAAGAGGCGGCGTTGTAAAACGCCTAAGAAACCGAAAAAGTAAACTGCTAAAACTCCTTAGTAGCGATAAGTTGCCGTGGAGCACAACTGTGAAATTGCACACAGAGCTCGAACACATCAAATCGTTGCTAACAGAAAAGAAAAAGCAAAAGCCTGTGTACACAACCACCTACACCGCTATACAAAATATAAATAAAATAATAATCAAAAAACAACCACCCGAGAAAAAGGAAATACCAACGTTAAAGAAGACATGCCCCGGTGACTGCGAGGGACCCCTATACTCACCGTATTGCCATTACACCTGTGCAGCCTGCACCGGTGCCCCAACAAAGAAGCAGTAATAGCCTGTGCAGCCAGCGCCGGCCTCGTCTAGCGCAACAAGCTAGACCCGGAGCAGTGAACCGACAGCGCTTCTAAGAGCGCCCACCGATAACAAAATTTTTTTTTAATGCACTGCGATGCATAAAATTTAATTTTAAAATTTAATGTAACATTGAGCGGAATAACATCTGCCCAATTAGAGTG